CTTAGGAACACAGACAACCATTTTACGAAACCAGCAGTTTGGAGTAAGGTACGCGTAAAAAAGGTACATACGGGTGGACAAAGGAAACAAAGGGAGTCTAAAGGAATTAGGTCACGGAGTTAGGTTCGTCAAGGTTGATTTTGAAGGACGGCTTTATTTTGTCTACGGACGGTTGACGTTCATTAGAGGTCGAGTGAATGTGCGACAGTCCCATTCGCCTTCCTGCTCTCATTTGTCTCAGGACAGTGGTTGTATACTGACCCTAATGTTCCTCTATGAAGCGTACTCTGACGTAGGAGTGCAGGTTGTGATGTCAAAATACGATTCACAGAATTATATAACAAGGAGGCAAGTTGCGGTGCATAAGTGGCTCAGCGTGTTTCCCGTTGTGAAGTGAGCAGAAGGCTGCTCTGTGTCATTATTATCGGAAAATCTATGGTGACATACACAAAGATGTCACGCCTAGTAGGTACACCTGCGTCGATGAGAGGACATTGAGTCGAGTACAACCACTGTCTAGGAAATGAAGACCAGCGAAGAGAATGGGACGTCGACATTCACTACACTCTCAATACACGTCAAGACCTCCGTTAGACAAAAATAAAGACGTCCTCAATCAACTTGAACAACCTAATATAAAGTGAACTAAATTCTTTAGGACTACCCTTTTTCCTTGTCACGTATGTACGTTGTTGTACTACGTACTCCAAATGGGTTTACGTAAAAATTGTCTTGTTCTAAGATAACAGGATGTCGTCACTACAAAGACCACTCCGAAGTCCGAATGTCAAAGGACTTCACGTTGAGCATCAGTTTAGCACGCTTACAGGACACATACTCCAACTTTGCCAGAGTAAAACAGTGAAACGGCAGAGCGACGTTAAACAATATAATAGACGCAACTATCACCTCCTGCTCCGACTACAGGTCAGTGATGCCAATTGTTGATAGGTCCGTACGTCGACGGTAGGAAATTATAGGGAAGAAGACTTATTTGTGTTCACTTTACTGTTGTGTTGGACAGTCCAGAGAGAATAGACAATTTTTCCTCTATTATAAGGTAATAATTAATGAGTGAGTAATAACAGAATCAACATAAACGAGAACCCACTCCACGCCCACAAAAAAACGGTGGTCCGTAGCATTGAGCCGGCCGTGTGAGCTACCGAGTACCGTGACGTTCAGTTCCGAAGCTCACAGGACTAAAGTACAGAACTCGGAAAGGGACCTCTTGCCTTGTCTATCAAACACAGTCATAGACCAGCCCGGACAAAGAAACTACACTTACTACATGCAACGGTCAGCATTCAAGAATAAGTACCATTACGAACTTCGGTCTCAACGCTCACACTTGGCAGTCTTCTTGACGTTTTATTTTGGTTTGACCACTGTAGGAATTAGGTCTTGGAAACATCTCAACTTTCGAAGAGCCCCTTAGATTTGAAATGCAAGACGTATCGTAAGAACGGTTCTATTTTGATACCTCTTATGTGTATTAGAATACCAGCAGTGATGTTTCTGGTGAGGCTCAAGGCTTTACAGTTTCCTGAAGTGAACGTCGTAGTCAAATCCGTGCAAATGTCATTGTAATGAGGTTTGAAACAGGTCTCATTTTTGTCACTTTTGCACGTCTCAGCTGCAATTGTTATATT